CAAACAACACACAACCAACCACACACACGATCACACACGTTTATAGTGCTGTACAAAAGCTGCAGCAAGGGCAAACGTTCCTAACCAGAGTTTGACTGCAGTAAGCACATATACATTCACTGCACAGCTCCAAGCTGGGGGCGAGCACATGAGTATTCTGTGCACGCACTCAGACACACACTATGAGCACAGATTCGAACACACACAAGCACGCGCGCACACACAAACACACAGACACACATGCGCGAACACACACACACACACACACACACACACACACACACACACACACACACACACACTCACACACACACTAGTGCGTATGACAGTAATGAAGATGTGGTCTAATTACACAGCAGTGACAGGGTTTTTCATCTAAGAATTTAACCTGTTTTAACGTACTGTTAGTGTGTTCGTCATGCGGTGGTAATGGTGCATTTTGTACTGTTCAAGGTAGCTTCGTCTCTGGGGAGCGTTGAGATTTTTCTTATGTACAGAACAAAGACCGATGATCTATATTGCTGGAAAATTGGTGTTCTTGTCGTTTTCATACCTGCAGAGAATCTTATTTGTTTGCTTTATTGCGGTTTGGTTTCTTCCAGATTTTGTTAACCACTGCGCTGCCTTTATCTTTTTCCAAATATGCTAAATAGGTTCTGTCTCAAAGTGACAGCCATTACCATACATCTCACATGCTGTTAGTGCTTCTCCTCTGCTGTTATAGAAGGAGGCATGGGGCTGAAAGGTAGCTCATACTCTCATCATGTTGCTCTGTGTGTGCTGTGATCACCAGTAAGAGTAAATATAGCTCTTTTGGCAGAAGCCTGCTAAGAGGATCATAGCTCACAATAGGTAGTCCACACACAACTTACATCAAAATGTCAACAAAAATGAACCTGTGAGTGGATTGACATGTGCACACACACACACACACACACACACACTCACACACAGGCCCATGATGTATGCACGCACAGACACAACCCCAACGCACACGTACGCAGAGACAACACCTCCCCAGAGAGCTCTCTCTCCTCCTCGTAGGTATAATTGTGTTGCTGCTGCTCTCCTCTCAGTTGTGACTGGGTCCCAGATGAAAAGCCGTAATTAAAAGGGAGAAAAGTTGTGTTTGTTGCAAAAAAAAAAGAGGGGATGGGTGTGGGAGAGGACAGGATGAAGCAGAGAGAAAGATTAGCCACAACAAAGCTTCATTGGCTGCAAAACCATCTCGAGTAGCTGGGAGACAAAGGACTCGGATGCGCCTTTATCTCCAAATAAAAAAGTCTTCCAAATCCCTGTGGCTAAGCTGCCATAACTAAAGCTGCTGTTGGCTTAGGTCCTCGCTGAATTTGTTGGACAACAAAAGTAGGAGAAATTCAAGAAGCTAGACCAAGCAGGCAAGAAATATATATATATATAAATAAACCTCCCTGTAGTTTCCAAAAAGAAATAAAAGTCAAGAGCCTCAGCGCTGGCATTTGAGAAAAGGTTATTTTGTTATTGTTTTACTTGTTTGTGTGTGTGAGTGAAAATGTCTATAAGAGACTTGCTGAAAGCATGAAGTGGATGGTCATTTTCTCCCTTTGCAATTTGGTGATGTAAACAAGACCACAAAAGGTGAAAGATTATACTATCTCCATCGTTGTGAGTTGAAACAGCTGCGATATCACTCACCACCAAATTGCATGGCAGTTTAGACGGGAGGAGCAGCTGCATGCAAAGAGACTGGCTCATTTTAAAGACAAACTAACTCAGAGTACTTCTAATGTTGCTCACTTCCAATGTACTTTTAATGTTGCTCACGTACACTGCAACAAATACACACATATAATATGCATGCACACTTGCATATCACTCATGTATGTGCTCTTAACTGCTTGTTTGTTTGTCAGATGAGGGCGCGTCTGAGCTGACGGTAACGTGATACAATAATAGAAGTAACGCTCTGTAAGATGAACACACATGTTAGCGCGCTATAGCCCACACAATGTGCACAGGGATGCATAAAGGAGTAGCTGCACCTCAGGGGAGGAATCAGGGAAGACAGAGTCATAAAAGTGAAGATGCATGGCTGCTGTAAAGTATATGAGGGGTTTCTACATGAAAACAACTGCGAGGCATTATTACAAAGGCTGATACAGCCACCGCATACACATCATACATCCACATGGCCATCATTTATCTCAAGATTAAAGTGCCATGGACGATTTACAGCAGAGTTTGCAAAAGGTGACGCTCCTCTGCTACTTTTCACCTTTTAACATCTGCAAGAACTTGTCTGAAAAGCTCCCACGTCAGCACAGAGAAGGAGAATGTTTTGCGTGAGGTAGTTTATTTGGAATATACCTGTCTGCGTGACCCTCCGCCCTCTTTAATCCTGCACAATGACTCCCTAAGGTGCTCGCTTTGAGGAGGACCCTGCTAGAATAGGTCACCCAGCAGATGCCTGGCCAGTGAGGGTTCCCTTTGATCTTACTGCCCTGAGGTCTACAGGCTTCAACACCCTTTTTAAATGTGGATTTTGTACTTAAGAAATCCCACCAGATAAACACTGCACCCCATGTGAGACTGAGACTCCTGTTACTGGCGGCTTTTTAGAAAAATAAGCATTCCTTCAAATCTCTTGGTGCTAGTCAGAATCTTGCTTTATTTTCTGATCAGATTAGCGTCTAATCCTGTCTTCTTTCTGGAGCAGAGCGAAGTGGTTACTTTGGGGCTGATGGGAGTTGATAGAGCTAGTTTAAAAAAGTTACTTTAAGTTTTTTTGAACGTTACAAAAACACAGTTTGGAATTCCTTCATACAGAAGGAGTGGGCGTTTTCTTCGTACTGAGAGAAAACAAGGAAATCTACAGTAGGTGAGGTATCACATTTGGGGAAAAAAAGCATTTTTGGGTTTCTTCAAGATGCTGTCCTACGTGGTTTGGCAAAAAAGAAACAAATCAATCCCATGGTCTGATATGAAGTAGAAAAACAACAGATTTAGAGGCAGCTTAGAGACTAACAGTCAATGTTCCTCCCTGAGCAGTAGAGGTAAAGAGGAGAAATGTGACGCTGATTGCTTGACGTATTCTTTTGGCAAAGGAAACAGAGAAGCTGTTAGGTAACAACTCTCTCCTTCCAACATCTTCTGTCTGATTCATCTCACACTATTTAACACACACAAAGACACACACACAGATCTCAGACAGTCTTCTTACACATTTCTAGAAACATGCTCCTTAGCAACCCCAGCACACTAATCTGCCGTAGATTTACTCCCTTTGAGAGCATTCTGTATTATGCTGCAATCCAATCTTTTTTTTCTTCTCCGTGCTTGAGATGGCGTGTTTGCGGCTTAGCATGTGTGATTGAATAGGGTCCTGTGTGATCAATAGAGCTCATTAAATGTCCCCCTGGGCAGTTGTCTCACCCTGAAGCTCTCTTAGATTGCCTTTTACCTGCAGCTTGTTCGGCCTTATTGCTTCAAGTGCTTCCAACTTTGTTTGCAGTGTAATTAATTTTCTAATTGAATTACTCAAGCCTGGCCTTTGTGTGCTATTTTCCTAAATGTGGATTGAAGGATCCATTTGGTTCCCCTCAGCTCAGGCAGGGAGTGTTTTGAGGATGTTTTGGGATGGGCGGGTGGAGGCTGGAGGAAACAGTGGCTGCACCTGTTGTTCCCTGCTGTGGCTGTGTGGTGGGGTTAGCACCTGCTCGCACGGCTGCTGTGTGGCTGTCTGTGTGGGCAAGCGGGGCTAACAGGGAGACCATTCACACCCGCTCAGACTGCTGTCTGCAGCCCTTCTCTCCTCAGCACTCGTTCACTTGCAGCTCTCTGCTCCATCATTTGCTTCTCCGTTGTTTACATCCTCGCTGTAGTCTGCATGCCAGATTGCTATCTGCCACACTTTATCCTTTGTAGCTCCCAGTCTGTCTGTCTATATCTATGTCTCTCCCTCTCCTCTCCCTCTTCTTCTTTCTTTCTTTCTTTCTTTTTGAACTCCAACCATCTCTTTTTGCCTTTTCACCTCACAAACACAAACATAAACAGCAGCAGCTGGGAGCTGTTAAAAGTCCTTCAGTAAGAGCTGGATAGCTTTTAGTGTGAAGGATGAAGCTGTAAACAATAAATTACATAAAACTACTAAATCACTTCAGTAAGAGCTGGGATGGCAGTGAGTGAGCATTTAACTTGGGCCAAGAAGGTTGTGGAGGGTCCAATGTGGAGTGCCATTTAGCTGATAAGTTATTGTGAGAGAAAGACTCATTTTGGGAAAAAAAAAACATGTGTTAAAGAATATTACTAATATAACAGCTATGTTTGGATCTATCAGTTTTGATGATAGGAAATACATATGGGGTATTCTTGCCTTAATCTTTAATAACAAGGCTATGTTTAATTTCTTAAATGTAGTGTGCTCAGTGCCACTCCTGTTTTCCTACTGTGACTGGGTAATGACATAATCAATTGGCTTTATGGGCTGCCAAATCATCACATGTGACCTTTAACAGGAGACCTTAAGCAAATATTTAATACAACATTGTCACAGGGCAGCAATTAAATATAACACCTGAAAGCAATAAGCCTCGTTTATGTCCCGAATTACGATCGGGTCGTGATCCATACGAATTTCCTCAGGCTTTGTATTCCTCGTCTTTGCATTGCAGCTCTAAAATGTGCAAGAATTACAAGCTCTTATTATGCTGAGACATCACTTCAAACCTACATGATGGCTTGGCACAGTGAGGACCATATGCAACACGTGAGAGAACAATGATTTTCGACAAAGATGATGCAGATACAACATGAAACTTGCAGCAGAAACAAAGAGCAGTTCATGTCCACACATGTCCAGGTCGATGCCAAACACACCCGGGGTAGAAATAATGCACCATCGCGTTTGGTGGCAGTAATAAAAATGCGCACACGCTCGGTATACCTGTTCATCCACTCCAACCCCCCCCCAGTCTCCTTCGACACTTAAATCATCTCCCAGTCCCACCATTTGGCTCACTCACCGCACCAGATGGCCAGGTAGGGAGGCGGAGGCAGGTGCCAGTCGCCAGCTCGCTCTCTCCGGTCGCTCTTGTCCCTCTCAGTAGAGAAACGGGGTCTGATGGATAGCACGGCTCTCGGTATCCAAAGCCTCAGAGAAATAACAGCAGCTCCTCAGCCGCACCTCACCTGTCTCTTCCCTCAGCGGTCCCTGCGCGCCGCCGTAGCATCACCGTTTAGCGAGCGCGTCCAAAATGCCCAGTCAACTACAAAACGTTGTTTTCTTTCCCATTTGGAAAGAGAGGGAGTCTGCAGAGTAAACGGTCACCTATGATCCAAAATGCGGTTTCTTGCAGCCTCAAAATCCCAAATTCTGCAATTGCGCACTAAGTCTTCTGTCGGGGGTACCGGCCGGCTGTCTGTCTGCTTTTGGCCAAACTATGGACCTGAGATTAGTAGTCAGCAAAAATGTGAAATCCTCCCCTTCAAAATTTACAGTGTCGAGGTGAAATGTCCAAACGCAGAGCAGTCACTGTGACAGCAGGGGCCCATAATTCACAGCCCCTGAAACCCAGTCCTGCAGTGGATCAATGATGAATGGAGGATCTCTCTCTCTCTCTCTCTCTTTCTCTCTCTCGCTCTTTCTCTCTCTCTCTCTCTCTCTCTCTCTCTCTCTCACACACACACATACACACACACACGTTCTGTGTAATCATTATGGAAATAGGTGTTAGACAAAGCTGTTCAGACAGTATTAAACAATAGGAAACAATAAGTCTAACTAAATAAATAAATAAATACATTCATTAGAACTAATCAGTCTTTTTGCAAGGTTGCAAAGAGAAGTGACACCAACGTGTATGTTAGAAACAGTGAACAGAAATGGGTTTCATTTAAATTCGGTTTCAAAATGCCTATAAAATGCTGGACCAGTTGTTCCTACAAATCATACATACATAGAAATACAAATGCCACTTATTTATTTCGGAACTTTTTTGTAATGCTTTAGCAAAGGGTTAATAGCCTACAGTTCCCATGTTAATTGATGTTCCAGTTACGTTAGTAACTGTATTTTTTGTGTGTGGTTTTACTTAATATTTGATACTCTTATTCTTCTAAATTAGTAGGCCTAGTGGTGCGTCACTGTATTTGATTATTTCACGGTAATAATAACACAAAATATGACTTTGCGTTCAAATCTAAAAAACCTTCTTAAATTAGATTTATTTTACAGAACGCTGTAAAAACGACCAAGCTGTATATAAAGGAGCACTACTAAACTACCTTTAAGGTTCTAACATTAAACTAATTGTTAACACGTAGACTAATGCTTAAAAATGCTGAATTTAGCCCATATTATATTAAGTGTTTCATATAGGCTAATTCATTTTTGTGCGTATATTTCTAAGTTGAAGACATTTTTTATGGGCATGCAGCAAAGATGGAAACAAAGCATTTTGCACAATGTAGAGAGATCAGTTGAGAGATTACCAGAACAATTTGAACTTTAAAGAAGGCTACTCATTTTTGCTGTTGCTGCCAAAAAAAAAAACGTATTAGAATTAATTTTGCAAATGATTTCGTATTTTAAATAAAGGACTTGTATTTTTTTGAAGGATCCAAACATGTGTTCCAACATTTTGCTCAGGCTTTTAAAGATAACCCTAACCCTAAGACTGAAGTGAATCAATTAAAATTAATTTATATGGCCTTATGCTGTTTTTTTTGTTCTGATTCAGATAAATGTTTTCGATAATTTGTATTATTTTCTATGACATATTAAATCAAGAGATTTTAAAATGAAGCCATCGGAAGACATATCTTTGTAAAGAATTACATTTATTGACAACAATCCTTTTGTCTTGACTGAGAAAACTGAGCTTTGTGGGGACAAAACTGTAAAAATGTTCTGAGTCGTCATAGTTTAAATTACTACACATACCTGTAAACATTTTTGTGACATTTCATTAAACAATAAATTAAATATGGATAAATAATATTAACGCAATTGTAATAAAGTTTTTAGAAACGAACCATCTCCTACGTCACTTCCGGGTTTAGACGGGCAGTAGTAGAAAAAAAAATCTGGTTGCAATGAATTTCAGCTAGCTAGCCAACGACAAATGTCATTGCATATGAGTAAATACATAAATGTCAAGGCGGAAGAAGGTTTTTCGAAGTCTTGTGCTGCATCTTTGTATTTGTATGAGCACACCAGCCTGCCTGCCGACCTACTGTGAATCGGTAAGTAGCTAGCTTACAGGCTAGCTCGCTAGCCGCCGCCGCTAGCGGCTTTCCTTGCTAACAACCAGTGATTATATTTTTTGACTGCTAGCTTCCATTTGGCTATTCACTGAGTTTTGAATTGCTTAAAGGACATGATCGATTCTCTGTTCTGGAAATTGCGTGTATGCATGGTTAACATACTGCACCTGCTATGTGCCCACATCACTGGCTAACATTAGAGGTTAATATTTAACCATGTAGCAACATTAGCATATCAGTCTCTCTGCGGCCGTGAGAGGATGTGTTTTAATCAAGATCACACCAGGACATCTGACTCACATCATCCCGCTGTGAGATTTAGCAGCCTTGGTATAAATACATAAACTTTATCTTTAATAAGCTGTAGTTGGTGTGTTAACAGTATGACAATAACACAATACTTTCTAACCCTTATGTTCCTCACACATGTTTATTTTGAATATCAGAATTCTCTACCTCAATTTTTGTTCTTTCAGGTTACTTTAAACTTTTTGCCCAATGTATGTGTGTTTATTTTTAATTAACTGGACCTGTTTGTTTTATCTTCTCAATGCTACTGTCATGTACAAACAGCCACACTCAAGCACCAGGCCTTCATGCATTTTACACATGTTTATCATCTTCATTATGTTGCCACATGATGTCAAGCAATGTCAATATGTTATCATTTCTTGTATTAAGATCCAGCTGGCTCAGTGACTAGAACAAGAAACCTTGGCTCCTTTGTGTGCCAATTCATTTCAAGAGCCAGGGATTTCTAAATCCAGGTACGTTTTTTTAAAATTATATTGGAGTAGGGTTTCTTCCAGAAGTTGTTAACGCAGGTTTTAAACACCATATCTTATGTTTTATGTCTTCCTATGTCTCTTCCAACCTCTGAAATATGTGGTTTCTTTTGTGTGCCAGTTTTGCAACAATTCTCTCTGATTCTATACCACAAAGCAAAAGAGGATGAGACAGAGGTGGAAGACGTATGAATCCTGCTGGTCCTGACCCAACCACAAATCAATTTTGTGACTAGATGACAATAAAAAAAACAGATAAATCTAATATGCTGCTTTTGATGGGTGGTGTAGTTTTAGTGCTAATTTTTGCTTAAATCTTAGAAAATCTTATTTCATATTTTTTTTAAATTTAATGATCTCTTCCAATAACAGTGGAGATGTATTATAAGGCATTTCTAAAAACTGCTAATACACGACTGATGGAAACCCTGCAGTGAATCAATACTGAAAGATTAAGTTTCCTGCATACTGTCCTCATACTGTTTTTCCAACTAATTGCTTTGTCTCCCATGTTATTTTTGACCAGAAGATGAACGGTCTGTCTATAAGAGAGCTATGCTGCCTATTCTGCTGCCCTCCTTGCCCCAGCCGCATTGCAGCCAAGCTGGCTTTCCTCCCTCCAGAGCCAACCTACGCCCTTCTCCCTGACCCAGATCCAAGCTCTGGAGCTGGAGCTGCCTCAGGGTCCAGCTCCGCTCTGCCCTCTCTCGGAGCCCCAGGACTGCGCTCCCGGCTAAGCACTAGTAGTGGAAGTGACAGGGGAGGCGGAGGTGGTGGTGGTGGTGGTGTAGGGGGAGGTGGCGGAGGAGGCGGAGGAGGTGGTGGAGGAGGTGGTGGAGGAGGTGGCACTGCAGGTGGCACTGCCAGCGCCAGCGGTAGTAGCGGTGGAAATGAGCCCAGGTGGAAGCTTCACCTCACAGAGAGAGCAGAGTTCCAGTATTCACAGAGAGAGCTGGATGTAACGGACGTGTTCCTAACTAGATCTAGCCGAGGGAACAGGGTTGGGTGCATGTACATTCGCTGTGCCCCTAATGCAAGGTAAGACACATATCACCCCCTGAACACCATCCCCACACACTTATTCTGCCTGCGCACACAACCCTCTAACTCTAGGTTTTGATTGTTCTTAATAAAGGGCAACTCTTCTTTCTTTTGTTGGAAACCAAATGCTTACGTATTTTTTATTAGTCATTCAATTCTATCACGTTATTTTATTAGGTTCAGAATAGTTCCTGCTTAGTCTCAGACTGCTGTTTAACTTTGTTGTTCTTCTTCTTTCTGTCTCCTAGGTTTACAGTGTTGTTTTCCCATGGCAATGCAGTAGACCTTGGCCAAATGAGTAGCTTCTACATCGGTTTAGGCACCCGCATCAACTGCAACATTTTTTCCTACGATTACTCAGGCTACGGTGTTAGCACTGGCAAGCCCTCTGAGAAAAATCTGTATGCTGACATTGATGCTGCCTGGCACGCCCTGCGCTCTCGGTAAGCAGATAGAAACAGTCTGGTCCCATCACACAAGGTCCAAAAATAAACAATAAACAAACACCAAATGTCAATTTGAGCATCTTTGGTATTAAGAAGTGACAGTCACTAACATCGAGGTCCAGTTACTTCGAGTAAAAATAACATTTGGTTGGCAAAGTTATACACAACCTGTGTCCCTACTGACCACATTACCCTCCTTTTGACCATCAACCAGTCGAATCAAAGCACAGCAATGGCTCTGTATCAAACAGGCTGATGATTGGCTGTTACACTGTGCTCTGCAAGAAGTGGCAGCATCTAAAATATAATGAACAATCCTCTCTTTTGTCTGCTGCCAGCTTGTGTAAAGAACCTAGTGTTGGCAGAAACTTAGACTCCCAGGTGGTGTCGGGAGTTTTTGAAGGCTTCTAAAAAATGTATAACTTGTATAAAGAAATAGTGATGCAACCAATCGCCCTCCGGGGACAAATAAAGTTGAAGTTGAGTTGATGTTGAAAAGATCTGAATGTACTTGCATAATCCAGATTTTTTCTTTGCAAGACTTAACCAATGATATAGATCTTCTTCAAAGCATCTGTTGGTTTGAATAAATGAACTGTATTATTAACATAAAAACCAGGGGTAGTTGTTCTGGTGTGTTGGACTGTACAGCGTACCCAACCATGTTAATGTAAGGACATATGCACACTTTATACATTGCATCAATCCTTAGGCACATCTTGTCTTGCAAACTGAAATGGACTGAATTGTAATGGTCTGATCGGAAATCTGTGTGTGTTGTCTCAGGTACGGCATCAGCCCAGAGAATATCATCCTGTATGGACAGAGCATTGGCACAGTGCCCACAGTCGACTTGGCGTCTCGGTTTGAGTGCGCTGCTGTGGTCCTCCACTCTCCTCTCACCTCTGGAATGAGAGTGGCCTTCCCCGACACTAAGAAAACGTACTGCTTTGATGCCTTCCCCAAGTAAGTTTTTCTCAACACAGATTATTATGTGGTGGCATTTAAAAAAATAATAATTATGTTTCTTTTCTTAAAGTATGAAGTGACATAACTCTCAGAAGATATTTTTATATTCAGTTATTCACACCATTCTAAACTTCAAAGTAGCTGTGAAAGGAAGAAAACTGATGCTGTGTTTCCTTGAGTTTAGTCAGTAACATCAAATTTGAATGGGGACAAATTATAACTGTTATTGAAAGTACTGGTATGTAAATAATAACGGAACTTCTCTGCCCATTCTTGTCGTATAATCAATTTCCTCTGCTGTTACCCGATGTTTCCAAGCTAAAATAATATTTTTGTTGCTACACTGAATCATTATGACACATCTGTCTCTGATCCTGTGGAAGTTGTATACACTTATTGTAATTCCCTGTGCACTAAAGTCTGGTTAATGAAGAAGACTATATAATTTAATTTTTTTTCATTTTTTAACCATTAGTTTATTTTATATATATACCCATCTATTTAGACATTACACTCTGCGGTTATACAATAACATTTTGGGCAATAATTATTGGCTTAATGGCTTTGCAAAATATTATTGTTCGGTTATTCCCATTACTTGAGACCTTGTTTTCTTCGCATGAGATAATGTACTTTAAAGGGATATTTCACCTGTTGAAACATGAATCTGTATTGACATTGGGTCATACATGTAGTAGAAATATAAATAAATAAATAAATCAACAGCAGCCGCTGCAGCCGAGGCATAACACCCGCCTGTTGGCAGCAGCTGCCTCGCTGCTATACTGCGGTTCGTAGAGATAGCCACAAACATTCGACTCGAGCACAAGGCCTTCAAAATCCTCTTCATCCATATCAGTTTGAAGTTGAAACATACTTTTTTCGCCATTGTCGGTTCCTATCAGCTTTCTCCATAGAGCCTGTTAGCATAGCTTCCAAGCAATATGGTGGACGTTAAGTTTCGTTTCTGGGAGTGAGGTCCCACCCACTGATCTGTGATAGGTCTGTAGCTTCAGTGGTCGAAAATATGAGGAACTAATGATGTAGATTCACTCCCCGTTAACCACAACAGCCGCTGATGATGCAAAATTACGATTTTTGCATCATCGGAGGCTCCTTGTCAGACTTAAAAATACAAAGATATCCCGTCTCAGGGGAAAATGAGGGCGGGATGCACGACCATTCAAAAATACTACCAGGTTTCTAATTATACAAAGCTTAATACAAATGGGTGAAGAATACGTTTAATTATTCAGGTAAACATAACTCATCAATATAAAGTATAATTAAGTATTTCTGAACTGATTCTGATCATTTGGTTATTAAAGAGGGTATAGATGGTTTTCTTAGAAAATGTACAATTTCATTTGGATTTAGTCATATTTTGATCATACAGATGGTTGGAAACGTTACAAGTATCTGAATGTATGCAAATAAAACTTGTCCCCATTAGAATCCATATGAATGGATGAATAACTGTATACACTGTATGTGCTGTTGTTGAAGCAACTCTAGTTGCTTCATAAAATAAGAAACCACAAACCTTTCATGACCTTTTAGAGTTTCACTGATTATGACAAATGGTCGGTGATACTCAAAGACAGATTTGATGTGAAGTCACCTTCATAATTCTCAAACATTTTGGACTCTGAATTACCTGTTCAGTACATTAACACCCTACTTCATTGTTCTTCCAGTATTGAGAAAGTGTCGAAGATCCCTTCACCGGTGCTCATCATCCACGGTACAGAGGACGAGGTGATCGACTTCTCGCACGGCCTCGCCCTGTTTGAGCGCTGCCCCAAGGCCGTGGAGCCCCTCTGGGTGGAGGGAGCAGGTCACAACGACATTGAGCTTTACAGTCAGTACCTGGAGAGGCTACGGCGCTTCATTAACCAGGACCTGGCTGCACAGCACGCCTGAGAAACAAACAACAGCCTCTCTGTTTGTATGAATGACAGTGTGACTGAGTGAATGTGATGTCAGCATGTGTGATTGTTAAGGGTGAGAAATCTACCTAAACAAATGTGTGATTTTTATTTTTTATTTTTTTTCTGTCACATCTGTTTGTCTTTGAAGCGGAACACCTTAAGGTTACTTTTTAACACAACATATGTTAAAATAATTAACGGTTAAAGGTGAGACCACTTTTTAATAAGTAACCCGCTGCATCCATCTGTGCAGCGGTTTGTTGTAAAACACTAAAACAAAAACTGAGATTTAGGTTTTTAACAGGGGAACATTATGAATCACAGCTTTACAATGTGACACAGTAGGCATCAACATTACTCTGTCTGTTAAAGGCACACAGATGTCATTTTAAAGTATGATATGTTGGTGAATATGAGCCGTAGATGTAATTGTTAAGTGTGTACTCATATCTCCATGGACACCTGAATAATGTGTGAGAGTGCATGTTTGTATGTGTGTGAACTAGGCAGTGCTGAAAGAAATGAAGGACATCCTGAAGACTTGGACGGATGAAAGTGAAGGAGGCTTATGAAGACTTCTCAATACTTAACCCCCCCCACCCCAATGCGCGTGTTTGAATGAAGAATACCTCCGCAGCTCGACCAGTTCTCTCTCTCCGGTGGACTAACACTGGTCAAGCAGGTGCACCCTACTCCCTTTTCCCCCCTCCGCCTCATGTTTACCTGTTAATGGTTATTCATCTGACTACCAGGGCATTTCCCTTACTGTCGTCCAGCTAACACTACCCTACTTTACTTGTGTGGTTTGGGGGTCCATCTCCTTCCCTTTACTGTCAGTTATCGTGGAAACACAAGGACTGGTCTGGAAATCTGTCACAGCTTGAATATTTTTAGATATCTTATACTTTCCCTCAGTTTTGACTCTGATGAGATCATAGAGTGGCCAGCTTACACTTCATTATCTGGCCGTGCTGCAAGTTTAGTTTTTTACAGTCCGCAGTATTGCAACTGCAACTTACAGGGAATAACTTTAATTTTGTCTTGATTGCTTTTTCCCTCCTAGTCCTCCTACTGTATATGATCATAAACGATAGTGTCGTAGTGCAAGGGAAACTTGGGGGGCCACATTCTGTTTGTGTTGATGACGACTCTTGAGCTTTAATAGAACAGCTGTGTAGGTTTACTTTGTTATTCTCATGTCAAATTTGATCCGCTCACTCCAGTGTGAAGCCTGTAGACCCTTAAGAATTTACTGATGTGTGATGTTTATTGATTGGGAATAATTCGGATTTAAAGGAGTAGTTCAAAAATGTGGTAAAATGCTAGTGAGGTGAGTGTAAGTTGAGAAGATTTATACCACTCTTCATCTGTAGCCAGGGACTGTATGGAGACAAGAAGTAGGAACAAGTCTACAGCAAACCATGTGTAACTTTTACAAATCAATTTTTGTATACATTGAACAAAAATGATTCTAAATGTAGAGGTGCATGTAGGTTGATTTGTTACCTTTGTACAGACAGGTGTCCTTTTTTTCCAGTGTTTCCAGCCTTTATACAAAGTCAAGCTAGCCTGTGCACTGCAGCTTGTAATATTCAGCTCATAGACATAAGAGTGGTATCATTCTTCTTGTGTTACCTTCAGCGAAAGAGTCTACTAAGCGTTTCCTAAAGTTCTAACTATTCCTTTAAGTTCCTAGAGTGAGGCTGTTGAGATGGTTTATGAATAATTTGTAGTCTTTATTGGCAATTTTCCCCTTTCATAGTGATATTCATTGGCTCGATTTGGAGGCTGTTAAGGGAATAAGGTGACAAATAAGCTGTTCAGTTGACCAAAGTAGGAAATCTATTCAGAATAATCCCTCACTTCAACTCTTCATGAGATTGATTAACCTGTGGTCTTACAGCACAGTTTTTTTCTTTGAACAAGTGTTGTTCCAGTAGCGCTCATTACCCAGTTTAGTCCATCTCCTCATGCACATTTCCCCCCCAATGTTTTTGTCTTATTGTAATTAGTCTGAACGTGTTTGTTGTAGTGTTGGGCCATGGATTGTGTGTTTCAGAACCTGGCGTGTTGACGTTATGACTAGCAAAGTGTGATTCAGATCCGGTGCCAGGACGAGACGTCATGCCTCCTCGCTCTGTTTAACCTCAGTGGCCCTAAATGTACAGGAAGCTCTCTTATGGGTGGCAGCACGCTCCATGTGTGACACAAGCCATATTTGAGCCTCTCACTGTTGGTGTGGTGCAGGTTCCACCACACGCACCTTTGCACATCATCACACACACACACACACACACACACACACACACACACACTCAAACACTATCCACACATGCATACACACACATTACAAGTACTGTAGTTTACAGTGCATTTACACATTTTATATATATATATCAGATCAAGCATGACAAAAGCAGGTCTTAAGTTCAGCACTATTGTACAAAGCATCCAAAGTGTAATAAGGGTTTAAAATGTAAGTTTGTGTGTCTTCATTACTATTGACTTGTCTTCTACAGGCCAGCATCAAGGATACTAACATCAAGATTGATTATGTAACAAGCACTCTGTAGACCTGAGAAGTACAGGATCAAGAAAGCGAAAACATTTCATGTTCCAGGAGATCCATCAGTTTCAGTGACAGTGGCTGCATTTTTTTTTTTTTTAAGGGAACATGTGCTGAACTCTCACTGATGTGATTACTCCATTTTGGGAGTACAGAATGGTCTCGGGCGTGGAATAGTCACTGAACACCACTCGCTCTCTTTTGTCCTTTGAGCAGGGAATCTCTCAGTTGTCATTCTGTACTTCGTATCTCTGATATAAATAATGGATATCTGTTACCATCTTGAAGCAGAGCTCTGAGCCGTTACAAGAATCAGTGAGTTTAACGCTGCTCTCTGACAGTAGGCCTCAGTTTCTCTCTGACAAGTCGTGTTTTCAGGGAAACCACAGGATCCACCTTTTCATTCATGGGGTTCCAAGGAAGGCGGTGGATAATCGCCGTTTTTAATGATGCACCACTGAAGTTAACGTTTGTTGTATCCTCTGGCCCTGAATGTTTATTGATGGGGGTGGGGGGAGGGGGGGTCGAACAGTGAAAACTGTATGCATGTCTATCGTGTTTTTGCAGAGCAGCAAGTGATTGGGGCGGGATGTTATATCTATTATGTATTCTATGTGAGGGTAAAGCTGAAATCATGGCATCGGAAGATTGAAGCGCTTTTTAAAAAAACAGGACGTTTATTCACATTTTTTAAATTGCTGATACTAACTGATGTAATGTTGAGTTTTGTGCTAGAGTTTGAGTGGGGCAGTGTTCAGTGGGTGGGTGGGCAGGGGGGAGCTAGATAATATTAGTGGGCTGTTTATATGGTTACTGTACTTACCTATTCTATTCTTTGTATTATGATTTGTAATTTTATGTTGCTTTTTTTGAACTGAGAAGATGATGTAATGAAATTAATTCATGAGACTGAATCTTGACCTTTTTATTGACAACAAAATAATAAAAAGATCACTTATGTACAAAAATGTCGTTTTCTTTTTCGATTTGATTGTACACAGGGCATTAGTTAATAAACATGTATAATATCTGGTATTGATAGAACAGTTTGTATTTTTGTACATAGTAATTTCATTACTGAATTGATGAAGATATGTTTATTGTTGTACAGTTAAAACAATCCTTGAGACATTTCAGACCTGGTAAATGTAACAAGTTTATCTAATAGCTTGATACACTAAAGAAAACTTTGTAAAAATACCAGAATGTTTCTGTCACAATGTAATACATACAGTCGCTCATGCGTCCCCATGTTTTGTGACACCAAGTTAGAAGTCATTTTCATGCACACATTCTAGAAACTATACAACCATACAAATCACAGCCATAGAAATCAGTTGCTAAATGTTTATGAACACAAGTTTACAGTTTTACAAAAAACTGCATTTTTCTTCTTAACATTATACTATTTTTAAAGGGGCTATATGTAAGTTTTTACATGTATAAATCGTTTTTTATCTCCCATTAATGTTCACTGTCTGTCTGTTGCCTGTACAAAAAGTTTCCCCGGGTAGTATTTTCCGAGAAAGCTCCAGGAAGTGATATCTTATGCATGTTCTCAACGTCCTCCTCACTCTGCTCCACTTACAGAGATCAACAGTACAAACTCATCACACACTCCCGGTCTTCACCTGCACAGCCAGAGGCCGCCTTCCACACACTTCTATCCGCCCTAGGAGCTCTCAAAGGCGGACAAACTCATCACACACTCCTGCTCTCAGCCAGTGCCTGCAGAGACTGTCGTTTGTAGGATGGAGAATGAATACAGACACACAGACTTTCACTTTCCTCCTCTGTAAACATTGTGCCGGTAAATATCCAGTGTTGTGTACGTACGAGCACGCGAGGGAGAGCGAGCAACAGGTTACAGGTGCAGTTCACCTAACGTCCATGCGGTATCGCTTCAAACGCAGTATTTTTGAAAGTTACATAGAGCCCCTTTAAAAAAGAAAAAAGTGTTTCGAGGTGACATTCTGCCTGTAACAGTTATGTTAAAGGACTGACTGCCCCCTGCTGGCTGAATGTTGTCAATAACAGTAAGATAAAGTATCACTAAATAATAAGTAATTCACTAAAACAACATGCACCATTATTTTACAATGTACATTTGATTATTAATCAAGAAACAGAAAAAGGTGCTTTTTCACCTTGTTAAAATCAACTGTGATGATCACATTTTGCAGGTCAGCCCAGAAACGTCTGCTAGCTGAGCTCAGCTGTTCACACGGCCAGGAAACAAACCTGGCTTCAGCACGCTGCCTCCATATGGCTCTTTGCTGGAGAAATGGCTTCCTTTCTTTGACCTGTCAGCAGAAAATGATTGCACTCCGGACAGAAATAGTGTGGTGCTTCTCCGCCAAAGCAGTCACTCATCCATGTAGTTCACCACGTGTGTCCGTGTTCACACATCCAGAAAGCACCTTAATGCTGATCTACATCCACTGTAGACATGACGCTAATAAAAGATTGGAGATCCTATTTGTGAACTAAACTGTGCATTTCTTTGGAGGAAACAAAGAAATGCACAGTAGTTCCATAGGGGAACTGTTTATCACTGCCTCTGCTGGCTAGTTTTCCTGGTACCTGTAGAAGTCAAGGGGAGGGTAGTGGTGGAAGAAAAGTTGTATAAATTATAAATTTGTAAAATAGGCGTCCTGAAAAATACATGTCCGTCCATAAAATGTAATTTAAGTCAAATTACAAAAGTGTTCTCAGAATAATGTACTTAAAGATCAGAGAAAATACTTATAACCCAGAAGTGATTATTAATGTGTTATTAATAAGCACAATTAAAGAGTACCTTTAAATATCTCACAGAATTGATTTTTCACAATGCATATTTTATTTCTTCTTCTGCGGAGGGTTATGGCTGTTAGCATCTATAACTGTTGCATTACTGACACCTCCTTGGTTGTAACCGTTAACCATGAAATGTATTAACAATCCTATCCCTTTTAATATCACTGTTCTTTCTATATTTAACATGGTTTTGTCGAACAATGTGGGAAAAACATGGTGAGAAATGGGTGTTGTGACACATGAGCAAAACAGTTGGGATTTCCTGAGGGTGGAAGTTTCTTCTCTGAGATTGTGAACTGTTTGTTATAGTGATTTTTACATTTTCTATTTTCATGTTTCTTTTTTTCTCCGTCATGACGCTCTTGATGTCTTGTGTGAAGCACTTTGAGTTGCCTTGCTGTTGAAATGAATAAACGTGCCTTGCCTATAACTCAAACACTTCTTACTGAGTTTCAGCAATTCCTTCCCTTAGTGTTATTTCCAACTCCTTTCCCCGTAATGTCCACAACATGATCTTTCTGGAAGCATCCAACCCCATTTTAATGTACTCAGACTTTCCCTTTATGTCCACTGATCAACCTATGACCATGGCAATAAAAAAAAACAATAATACTATACTTCGATACTTCAATCAGTTCTAGTCTTTCCACTCTCCTCTTCCTTCTGTACAGTCATTTCAAAGCTACGCATCATATTTCATCTGTTAACCATGTTATTATCTGTACAATCTGAACATGTCAAGTATGCACAGCTCTTAAATGTGTGAAGTAAAAGGAGTAAAAATAGAAGTTATGTATTCTAATAAAAGTCCCCACTACATTCATTGTCATTGATTCAATATTTTTTATCATCATTAATGCTGTGTAAGTTCTGCATGGATCAAAGCATCATCTCTACATTTATAAAACACATAGGTGTGACTGGTGGAATGTTATCACTTATCTTTTGTCACATTGTTGAGTTCGTAAACCTGCAGAACGACTGTGTTCATGTCTAAGCTCACGTGCAAGTGATGGTTTTAAAAAGTCACCAAAACCGGTTTAAGCCATGTCTGGTGTTTTTCTCTGCGTCCCGTAAATCACTTCCTCCTCTTTCATCTGCTCACAGGCTCCCTTTTCAGATTCTTCATGTTTTTTTTGGCACTACTCACTGTCTCTTGTGTAGAGCCCACTCTGTCAGGTCTCCCAAGGTGTTCAGCTGCTCCTCCAGAGCAATGATCCTCATCCCGATGTACCCCGATGCCACCAGCAGCAATGTCATGCTGAAAAAACACAAACACAAACAAAAGCATGAATACCTTTGGTCTGCTGTCAGACACGACATCACTTCTCTCTAATGTGAAAGTACATTTCTGCAGAATGGATCAAAGATTGAGCTGAGACAAGAACATACCGTACAGCCAAAACAATATAAGATATCAGTAAATAGTATCTGTGTGGAGCCTGAGAGAACATTGTGTGATCACATTTCTAAAACCACATCTCAAGGTTTCATTTCTCTCAAGCCAATAACTTATCATGACAAAACATTTACCACTAGAGGCAAAATTTATAGAAAAGACTGTTTTTAATAGGCCATTAAAAACAGTTCTCTCTGAGAATCCAAACTTTACCAATAAAGACGTCCTCGTGCAATTTAACATCTATGTTACACTTTTAAAGGCGTCAACTCACAAAGTCTTCCATAATTCAGGTCTTACACAGCAGTATTGTACAGAATTGTAGCAAGAATTAAAGTATGAAGCTGGTTGAGGTGAAGTTTATTTTTGACTTTATACGGTTGGGCAGTTTTAACTTCTAACATTATATTCTGTAAAATGCCTTGGTTTTGGATGTGAGATTTAAATCTGAAAAGTAGCAACCTTAATAAATGTAGTAAAGTATAAACACGTGGTACTTACTTACTAGAGTAGTATGAAAGGATACTTAAGTACAGTCCTTTGGTTAGTTTAATCCACGGGAGGAAACTCGTGATACTTACAGCATAAAGTAGATGTAGAAGAGACTCCTGAGGTTCCTCATTTCACTGACGAAGAGGAACGGTACAACTCTCTCCATGATCCTCCAAATCCATGGCCCAGCTGGTACATACAAAGTTCTGTCAGTATTTTTAAAGCCTTTCTCTATTATATCGTGTAACAGTATCAGAAAGTAATGCTAGCTACGTAGTTGGATGCTGATGTTAGCTGGTGGTACCTAACAGTAGCAGTGAATACAATATGGTGTTTTAACTTGAAATATGGAGCACTATCACTTCAGATTTGTTTGTATTTCAAGTTGTTGATCAATCGGGGAGGAGTAAATTGAATGGATTGGTTAGATTTTGCTGGGTTTTACAACTTGCAACTCAAAATTAGAGTCCAACATAATGACAGCGTTTGAACTTCATGAGAGTAACGTCGGGTGAAACTTTGAGAGTACAGTGAAAGGTATGTGCATCTATTCGTAAGCTCTTCACACACCTTTGTTGTCTGCGTCTGTTGAGCTGCTTTGATGTGTGAAGTTGGAACTGGTTGGACCTAGAAAATCACAAAAACACATTTTACACCTTGCAAATAATGGTGTTGTTAAAATACTCATTTAAAATGTTCAGTGCTCTCAATACAATTCCATCTCAGACAATCTGAAGTCCTTATTGAAATAAACATTACACTGAAGTCTAACAACTGTCAGTAATATTATCCCATTAAACCCTTCTCTTCCATCTTTTCCTCACCTTCACCGGACATCTGCAAAACGCTGTTTTTAAGATGAATGCTGTTCTGTCTGCTCAGATCATGATCTGTGACGTCCTCCAAGCTGGAAACACTGGAGGCCTATAAACAAGGACAGTGACACTGAAGGTTAGAGTCATCACGTCTTATGCACCCATTTTAGCCCCCTGCATGAGCTGCAGCAAACCTACAATGTCAGGCTCAACTTCATTCTCTGCAGAGGAGTGATGAGGGCTGCTGTTTGCACTCCCCTCCTGTATAAGAAAAAACACAAATTCACAGGTTAAGACCGAGAAGGGATTTCTATTTCTTTCTTTCTTTGTGCACAGCTGGATTCATCAGACACCCACCTTAGCATATGAACAGATGTTGTGAAGGAGTTTGTAACACAGCTCACGGTTTCTCAAAGACACAAATGAGAACTGAGGGAGACATAAAAAGGGAGAAGAAAGGGATAATACTGGAACAACAAAATGCATATGTCTATGCTCATTGTTAAGAAAGCACACTTTAAGTCTCGGCTTGACAAAGAGTCAGTATAACTACAGGAATTTGAAAGGCAGTTTGACTTCATCTTTTCGTTTATTGAATAAAAAGAATCTAAAATCCAATGTTGAATAGGGATGTGTAATTTCATACAATACAACCGTTAATTTAAGCTAAGCTAAACTAAGCTTACTTGCACTGTCCAGTCATGGAAATCAATTTTATGAATACAAAAGATATAAAAACTCAGACAAAGCCTGAAAAATATTACGAATTCAAAATAAAAAAAATGTGTAAAAAGAGTGGCCCTGCACATGAATGCACACACGTCACATCTCTTCGTCTCATCCTGAGCCTTTAATAAGGCTCCTGTTAGGGAGTTATTCTGGTTCAACAACAACAGAATAGGATGTCTGTTTAGAGGAGCGTTAACATTAACAATTCCCTTTAGGTGTAATCCATGTTATTGCCGCACAAACTCCCAAGAGGTTTTACTGTGTCACTGAAACCCTTTAGATCCTGATTTTGTACCCATTCAAGTGTGAAAATAGAGTAGTTCTGCGTCCTATCAAAATTTTAGTTGTACGATTACAATGGAACATATTGCCAAGATTAGGTCGAGTTAAACATCTGGACATGACACATTTTGTCAGGGAACTTCTTAAAATGACATCATACAAAGCAAATAAAGTACAGCAAATAAAAGAACAAAGACCAGAGAGAACAAAATACATGTGAATGTTTTTTAGAGTGTAGTCTGACCTTCTTTCCATCCGTCGTCTTTATTGACAACATGGATAAAGCCGAGTTATACTTCCTCACCTCCTGGACACTGCATCCAGAAATCGCCACCTGAAGAATGTTGACAAAATACTTTTTTCTGTTCTCACAGCCTTCAAGAGGACTCTATAGTCATATTACATTTTCCTCTGAAAGTGACCTGAAAGGTGGATAATCAAAGTGAAGAGACAGCTTTTTATTTTTATTCTCTCTCCTACAAAATGTTCCTCTGTGAAGTCCGTCTTTGATATAGAGTTAAAAAGCCTGAATGCTTGAGATGAATTTGAATTCCCAGGAAAGGCTAAATGACTGTTGATTCCTCTCTAAAACAAGTGAGGTCAAAAGTCTTTTATGCCAAGATTACTACAAAATTAGAAACATATTACCTTAATTGGTGAATGGTTTCAAATACATAGAACACCAACAAAGTGCTACCACTATTATAACATTTTATTGTTAAATAAAATGCTCAAATGTATTTTGCATTACTCAAAAGCATCTGTTAAATACATTAACTGTAGAATAAAGTTTCACGCCCACATGTGTCTTAGTGTGTTACCTTGGTTTCTTTGAGCAGCACGGAGGAGTGAAAACACACATGGTGATCAGAAATATAGAGTTTTCCATGATACGGCACCTCCTTCTGCATGGCACAGGTGAATGCTACAATAGATTTACACACGCACAAAATAACATGCATCATTTATAGCTGCAACAGAGACATTCATATAAATACATGAATATATACAGTATAAGCCAGACGTCCGTCAGACAGAAATTCTGAAAAATGTCATTGTGACTTTCTCTCTGCTCACCATGTGTCAGATTCTCGAGCTCTGGAATATCTGGAAACAGTTTGCGAAAGTTTTTGTTGTGCTTCTTGAAGCTCTGTTGAGGGAAAACGGTGAATTGTTTAAAAGTTCACGTGTGTGTTGACCAGAAGCAGGTCTGGTGTTTGTTTGTTTATTACAATATTACTTACATAACTGATGTTTAGGCCACTTGGAGGCACCAGAAACAGGTTGTTAAAGCAACACTTGCTCACCTGTTTCCAAATGTAAACTGTACCAAAACCACACGTTTGTGCAGTTGTGTTTGTTAAGCGGCCGTATTTTTCAGTATCTTTAAGATCTGCTTTTGGTGCCTACCGACTCAAGGAGAAAATATCTTGGTCTTATATATAGCATCAAAATGCCCCACAAAGCTGGCCCTCTGTCTGCTGTGTGGTTCTGAGAGAGTAGTCCTACTTTAGGCTTTACTTAATGAATAACAGATTATTTCTAAAGTCGAAGACAAAGCTGTGCTTTGAAAGGCAGTTTATGAAAGAACTGACTCTAAACTTCAAATAACAACATTTTAGGCTTCAGAATTGAATTATTAATACAGAATATACATACAAACACTTTCTGATTGAAATGACTGAAGCCTACTTGTTGCCTAGCAGCTGTACATGTACACATCCAGTCATGGCAGAGCCACATGTGGAGTTGTGTTTCTGACCACCTCATTCATGTAGAATTTTGGTCTCAAATATTTAGCTGCTAAATGCTCCTCTGTGTATTACAGTGACATTTTAGTGTTCTTTTACTGAAAGCAGTTGACTGCTGCAGCAAAATATAGAAATAGGCAATAGGCCTACTGGAGTAGCAGATCATAAGAACTAGCTGAGAGACACAATAAAGCTAGCATCATTGACTTAAATGGGGCTACTGATTCATCATTTTAATTCCCCCCCCCGTCACACTGATAGTCTACAATATTATCACACAAGTAAAAGGTGTGTTTCCTTTTAAATACAGGATGAAAGAAAACAGGAAGGAGCTGAATGATGTGAGATGCATTTACATTACTGTTGATGAGACCATCTGGTAGCTCCTCTGCTATGGTCTGCTCCCTGAGGCTGTTATTTACTTCCTGGGTCTCCAGCCGGCCCTCAACCAGGCTATGTCTAGATTTTTTACTACCTGATATGCTGCCACCTCCCTTAGCGCCAAGCAGTCCTGCTTCATGTGCCAAGCTGTCCCAAGAGAGGAGGAGATAAATGTCAGAGTGATGAAGCAGCAAACAGGTCAACTGATATATGACAACATCCAGTAAAGCGATGTAATGAGGACACAAGAAGGCTATACTGTCTAAGTTAGTAAAAGTGTTGGAGTGCAGAAGAAAACAACTCCTGTGTATGGAGTCAGATCAGTCTCAATATTCACAAATGCACACAGAAGGATTCACAACTGTATTTCAATGCACACACAAATATTTTTCATTCTATATAAATGTAAAACAAATCCACAAATAAAAAATTAAGATTCACAAATGTATTTCTGATTCACACAAGAATATTTATAGTTTTGTATATATGTAATAGAAATCCGCAAATATATAATATACATACAGTTGCAGGAGAAAGTTCCTAGTTTTCTGCATAAATTGGCCATAAAATGTGTTCTGATCTTCATCTAAGTCTCAACAATAGACAAACACAGTCTGCTTAAACTAATACCACACAAACAATTATATGTTTTCATGTTTTTATTGAACACAACATGTAAACATTCACAGTGCAGGGTGGAAAAAGTATGTGAACCCTTGGATTTAATAACTGGTTGACCCTCCTTTGGCAGCAATAACCTCAACCAAACGTTTCCTGTATTTGCAGATCAGACCTGCACAACGGTCAGGAGGAATTTTGGACCATTCCTCTTCACAAAACTTTTTCAGTTCAGAAATATTCTCGGGATGTCTGGTGTGAACCGCTCTCTTGAGGTCATGCCACGGCATCTCTATCGGGTTGAGGTCAGGACTCTGACTGGGCCACTCCAGAAGGCGTATTTTCTTCTGTTGAAGACATTCTGTTGTTGACTTACATCTGAGAGTCTTTTGTAACCCTTTCCAGCTTTATGCAAGTCAACAATTCTTAATCGTAGGTCTTCTGAGAGCTCTTTTGTGCGAGCATGGTTCACATCAGGCAATGCTTCTTGAGAATATCAAACTCAAAACTGGAGTGTGTTTTTTTTATAGGGCAGGGCAGCTTTAACCAACACCTCCAATCTCATCTCATTGATTGGACTGCAGGTTGGCTGACTCCTGACTCCTTTAGCTCTTGGAGAAGTCATTTGCCAAGGGGTTCACATACTTTTTCCACCCTGCACTGTGAATGTTTACATGTCGTGTTCAACAAAAACATGAAAACATATAATTGTTTGTGTGGTATTAGTTTAAGCAGACTGTGTTTGTCTATTGTTGAGACTTAGATGAAGATCAGAACACATTTTATGACCAATTTAATCAGAAAACTAGGAAATTCCAAAGGGTTCACATACTTTTTCCTGCAACTGTATATATTTAAAAACACATTTGTATCTTGTTACATTTATATACAAACTGTTTGTCATTTGTGAACCTCACTGCATTTGTGTGTGGGACTTTTGAGACTCCCCTGCTATGGTTAATTCACAAATGCATTTTTTTTCAGCAGGGAAATGTCTGTAGCTAATCAGATGTCTCCTTCCTATTCAGCCAATCACAGTTGCGTGGATTCAAGGGTATGTTTTAATATTTACAGTCTATATAGTTTTAATGTGATCACGTTACATCTGCGCAGACAGCGATTAACTTCGATTAGTTCACATTTTTAAACCAGCAGCTACAAACACTCTTGACTTAACAAGTAGACTACATTGCGCACACCTGCTGCTGGTTGTACTGTCAACCAGCAATAAAAAAAAATATCAATTTCTAGTTTCAACAACATCTTGTCATTGATATAAAATGTAGACATAACGATAGGAAAATATAAAATGAGAGGAAAAGTAATGTTTACTCACTCAGAACTGTCCAGTGAGAATCTTCTGTTAATGCTCATGATGGAAATAAACACTTCGAGCTCATATAGGTACGCACACTTTCAGACATGCAGAGCAAAATTGCATCTGGTTTGAGCTTTCCCCTCTTATTAAAACACCTCTCATATAATCATAAGTCTTCTTTTTCCTGAGTTACTCTGAAGTAGCCAGAGGCAGGTGAGAACCAAAGGCAAGGACCGCCTACATAATGGATTGGCTCGTATTGTTAAATTAGCCAATCAGGTTGAGAAGCGGGACGAAATACAACCAATCATTGAAAGCAGTTGGAAAAGGCTTCTGCTCCTCATGACAACAGTTGCTATGGGTGGCTCCAGCTACAGTGCCCTGAACTTTTGACACACGTCACTTGGACACACAGTACTTGTAGCCTATACTTTTAGGGAACGGTCACACTGGCCATCCGTACCGTGCCCAAGCACGCTTCAACGCTAAAGTCCAGTTCGTTTGACCAGTGTGACCGCTCCGTATCGTGCTCAGGCTCGGTACACTTCCTTGGCTTTGGCACACTTCGGAGAGGTGTGCTTCTGCACGGTACACTTCATGCACGAGCACAAGCACGCGGGTAAACAACGCTGACAGCCTTCATTGTGGAGAAGTCCAGAGTTTCATGGCTGTATCTGACTGAAATGACACAATATAAGCCACAAAGCTGTCATGTCTCTGTGTTGTTCTCCGATGTGCGGGCGTCCGCGCGGACTCGGCCGCGCATGTATTTTATTTATTTATTTATTTATTGCTGTGTCTGGTTAAAATGGCTTAAAATAAGCTGTAAAGTCAGTAAAGTAGCTGTCATGCTCTCTGTTTTTCTCTGATGTACAGACGCGGACTCGACTGCGCGTCTCTCTCTCTCTCTCTCTCTCTCTCTCTCTCGCTCTCTCTCTCTCTCTCTCTCTCTCTCTCTCTCTCTCTCGTCCGCCTGTTTGTAAACTGAGCTTCATAACATAAAGCGTGCATGTGTTGTATTACGACGTTATGTACAAGAGGTAATCGTGCTTAGGTACGGATAGACCTGTGTAGTGTGACCGTGCCGGCCAGTGTGGGAATGGCGCAGCACGGTATAGATGACCGCCCTTAGGGCGCGGTCACACTGGGGACCCTCATCCCATTATCTACATCCCCTCTACAACTATAGTAACCTGACACTAAACCTAGGGTACAAAAACTCAAAATGATTTAGCCCTATTGAACCACCAAGTTTGGATTATCAATAAACCTTTCAAGGGACCATCAAAAAGTGACCGTCTTCACTTTCCAAAAGGTTCTTGACTCAGTAAGAAACCTATAAGTAGGTTTTCACAGATTCATGTTTGAGAATACTCACACACATGTACACGCAGTGTGACACAGGTATGTAAACTCTACTGTCATGTGTTTTTTGGTTGTTCAGCCAGCTCAGCCTGTAGCCTACAGATAAACATCAGAGGTTGACTTATGGCCTACAGCACGGTTAACATGACACAACAAAAAATGGACAAAAAAGATCACTCTGAAGTAAAACTGAAAAAAAGTCTTTAAAATGAATAAAGATATGTATGCTTAAGTGTACACACATTGACATTGTCACTCATAGCTCAGTAGACCAGCCTTTTCTTATTGACTTTTATGGCTTGTGTGTGCAGGCAAATTAGTGTGTTTTCACATGATCATTAGGCTGCCTTCAACAAGAGATAAACAGAAATGGAGCAAATATTTGTGCAAATACAGTTTGTTTACTGTGGGACACAAGCTCAGACTTCCAGTATCTTAAACATCTGTCACCTGATCAGGACTGAACCATCTTTATTCTTGACATTGTAGTTCTGAGTCCAAAGAGAAATACAGATGGATCCTTGTAGTTTTTATTTAAGTGATGAGGGAGAACCATTTTCTTTTGAGCTATACAAAATGATGATTTAAGCCTAGAAAAGTAAGCAAGATTGACCATTTCATTATTTTGTCAAATTTCTTTTAAATAATAAATCAAAGTAGGCTACATTTAAAAAAACAAAATGTTGTGACGTATGACTGATAAAAAAGTGGACATACCTATATAAAAAATAAATAAAATAAATCACAAATATTTCTAAGTTTTGATCCTTTTTGTCTTTTTTTCTAATCTATATTTTTACTCTTATATATAATGAAGGCTTACACACTAAATAAACTCAAGCCACTGTTGTCGATCTCTCTCTCTTCTCTCTCTCTTGTATACTGTATATAAATATATATATATATAAACAAATAGACAGCTCAGTTGATGAGTCAAAATAAAACATTTCACTTTTTTGCTATTCCTTTTAGCTGTTTTCATTTAATTTTTGATCTGTAACGAGTTCCTTCTTACAGTTATTGTCATTGATCTACCTGAAGGTCCTTACTTTATTTCCAAGTAAAGGCAGGTTGAATTCAAACAACAAGTAAAGTACTCTCATCTTCAGACAGTAAGAACATGATTAAGAGATTGATTTCATTCTGAACAGAGTGAAAGTGTTAAGTTGCCGGCCGGTCCAAACACACCTTAAGAAGGAAATACTACAGGTTAGAGACGTGACAGCATCCTAACAACAGTCCATACAACTGTTCTGTGATGGAAGGAACATTACTCTGTTTTCTTTCTTATCTTTTTCCTGTCATTACCTAAAAGTTTAAATACAAAAAGCTGTTGGCTCGCTGACAGATTCTGAGAAAGTCATGCAAAGTAAAACCAAACAAATACTTCTCTAAGGTGTAACAGGTTTTTGTATCAGCAGATCAGATTTTAGTAAGAAAAAATGTGGATAATGTTCCTGTACCTGAACTCTACACATGCAAAGGACTCTTATCTTTATCTTGTATGTGTATGCGAACACAGTGATGGCGGCAGGATTTTTTTTCTTCCGGTGCTGTGGGGGAGCTTGACTAATATATTGGGGTGCGATTTTTTACAATTTATTTAAAAACAAAACAAAACTACCCAAATACGTGAGGGTGCTTAACCGGGGATAGACAGATTTGTGATGGCGCCCCCTAGCCCCGGTGTAGCGCCGTGCTTTTGCAAAAAAAAGAAAGAAGTGAAACACGTGGATCTGCACTCAGGTCACGTATGACAGGCCTATCAGTGTGACTTTAAATTGAAGTAAATTAGAGCAGATTTAATCACCTAGTCCAGTGGTTCCCAAAGTAGGGGTCGGGAGACAATGACAGGGCCGTGAGAATCTTTCCAAAAACAGAAGTAAACATTTGAAATGATTAAGATGTTCGTATTTTTCCTATTCCAAGGAATATACAAAAATAGTTCCATTTAAAATAAAACAATAGTCATTAACAGGGATTTGTGTTCAAATTAAAGCAATGTATAAAAAGTTTGACCATGACAGCAGCATAAACCTGTCTGATGCTGTTTGCGCATAAAAACGCACAGACATCACCTGTGTGTCTTTTTTATTAATGTTGGAAAAGAATCCATCAGCGCTTCAGTCTATTATTATATTACTAGTATTCTGCTTCTAGCTTTTCTTACAATAAGTTATCAAAATAATATTGTAGTTTTTACACTGTAGTGTTCTTTTGTCCCAGCTGTCAAGAAACACACCATCAGTTATGTAAGGAGCAGCATTTTTTTCCCTTTCCTGATCATCAGCATGACCCTCTTTGTCTAGAGTTATTCAAAGAAAATGCATTCAAACAGAAAATACAAGAAATGTTGAGAATAGCCACCTTTTGTCATTCACTCAGGAATATAAAGCAGTTTGTGAGCAGATTTTGTGAGGACAGAAACCTGAGAGCTCTTTTATCTACAAAGTAAAACTTAAGTTTGACACTTTGTGAAAGATTTGTTCCTAAATGTAATGCTAGCACCAGCTGCTGGTTAGCTTATCCTAGAATCAGAAGAAATGGAGGAACCCGTCTGGTCGGAATGAACAAAATAAACTTTTTTTATAGCCAAAATATCTTGAGGTTTCATCCTTTTCTCATCAGTCCAGCTCTTGTAGCTAAGTTTTAGTCTTGTAGCCAAAATAAAACTAAAACATCTATGAAACCAAAAATGACGACAAACTGTAAATAATGGGGGTTTATGGTTGTGTAACGAGACTCATTGTGTTCACTTAAGAGAACCAAGCTAGCTAGTCTCCCTGATTTTGTTGCATTTGCTTCAGTACAAACTGCTTTTTATTTACCCCGACCGACAACTATTGATATACCTATCCATGGTTGACTGTCACTGGGAAACTAAAGGTCATATATTTGTGATTGGGCACAAAATAGTAAAATAAATAATATTATAAGTGTCTGGAAACAAAATAGCCCTAATTTCAGTAAAACCCAAAATGTATGGATGTGGTGTTGTGATGTCATCTTGCAGCATCAGATTCCTCACACTGCAGGTGTAAACATGGTGTTTCCCCTCTTTATCATCCATCTCATCCTTTTGTACTATATTACTTTATATTATAACTTAATTTTGTTGCTTGTTTTGTTTCCAAACTTCGAAAAATCAGATTTTTTTTCCTGAAACCCTGGTGCAAAAAGTCAGCTTGCATTTCCAAACATTTCCTGGGTGTTATTTTGTGCACACTGCATTGTGCAGTTTGTCAAAGCTAGCTGGAGTGACAGGAGAGGCTTTGACTTACTTTGGTCCCATCTAGTGGACGAGGAGGGAACAACAACAAAAAGAGGCAACAGGAATCGAGCAGCTCATTGTGCTGTATATCCAATCATCCTGCTTTTAATACAAAGTCAAGATACAATATCTACATCCAGGGTTTTGAAAGGAAAGAACAGGTACATCAGTGAGGGGATGGCATCATCAGAGCTGGCCCTCAACACATTTCACATGTTTCATGTGTGTGCCACTTTATATTTCTCTTGACACAATAATATTAGAAATCGAAGGAATAACATATTCTTATATATGTCACACACTGTCAAGACTTCTGGACCACACATAAATTTCATATCAGAATAATTTTAGATTTTAACAATAACTTTTGCGTGTGTGTGTGTGTGTAGTTGTGTGCCTGTGTGTAGTTGAGTGATAAGTCACCCATTCTCTGTCAAAAAATACACTTGCTACCATTTGCTTTCCAGCAAACTAAATACCAGCAACTTGTCTGAGGTTTTCACCAACAAGTCTGCTCTATAGATCTAAC